TCTAAGAGATAAGTTAGTCTATAACAATCTCGCAAGATACTATGTTAGTGGCCGGGTAAGCAATTGTACTGAAAAAGAAACTAGGTCTAATATTTCTGGAGAAATTAATCGAATGATGTCTCATTTAAAAAGAAAAAAAACTTAATATAGAATCTTCAATTAAAAAGAACAATGCTAAATCTTGTTCATAATAAATTTACTAACTCATAAATTAACTAATACTAGTCATAAGAAGAGGCATGGTTATTAAGATAAAAAAAATTTAATTTAGGATAATATTTTTTTTATGTATAAACCATTGACAAGAACTGTAGATTGCTATTTCCACGCACCTGTTCATTGAGTCCAAGACAGGCATTTTGCTGCGGCTCAGTATAAAATTGCCAATCATATGGTGTTTTTTGCAGCATTGGAGCAGCAATGGGGATGTCTAAGAGAGCCGATGGTCGACCACCAGCCTCAATCACCAAAATGTTCACTGTCGGGTCTTCTGACAACCTAGCGGCCAAAACACAGCCAGCCGACCCAGCCCCCACTATAAGAGAAATAGTACCTAATGTAATAATTCTCAATAATGCATTACAATGTGACTTCTGTGAAGACCAATCTTTTTATTTATTTATATTAATAAATAGCAAATGTTTGTTTGGAAATTTAGTTAGGCTAGCTGGTGTAATTTGGGTTACCTTATTTGGTAAGTTTACGGAACAATAGGCTATTAAACATTGTCAGATGAAGATGAAGGTTTTTAAATTTATTTTATTTTATGCTTAACACATAAGGATGAAACCGAGTAACTAATTGAACATTCTCTTATTTACATATTGGGATAATATGGAGAGCTAGGAGGACACAGCCAAAGAGCTCCCTATTATCTAGAAGGTTGTATAATGATTATGCCTTCTTTATGGGAAGAGAAACAGATAATGGCTACTTACCTATGATATAGTCGTAAACGTCATTAATTGTCTCAAAATCATTACAAAACCAATCCGTTAAGTAATCAAATTTGTAATGTAAATTGATAAGTGCAATATAGAGTCCAGAAGAAACGGTGTATATAATTAGAACCCATGAGTAACGTAAAAAGAACCACATTTCTCATAGTGTTACAGAGGAAGGGGAAAAAGACAATTTAAGACAATTCTCTTTTATCTTCTGATATAATTAAATTAAAAGAAGGGCTCGTCAAGAAATGTATAAACTTAACGGGCTTGCGCAGTGTATCAGGTTTTTAGGTTATGTTTTTCGTCTGCAGCTGTCCCAGTGTAAATAAATATTCCAGCTGTCCAGCTGATCATATAGCTGTAGACGACAAGCAGTTTTTTTTCTGTTTCCTTAAAGGGGTGCCTTAGATTTTTACCATGAGACACAATTTTATTATGAATTGATGATAATCTTTGTCGATCAATAATCTTTGTAATGGTTGTTCAATAATTTGTCGATTTACTTTGCCTGTAAAACCATGATACATTTTGAGTTTTTTTTAAACCCCCCGGAACGAAAAATTTTGGAAAACGGTATTACTCACAATTTTGCAGTTTTCCCTTTTCATGTTGAAAACAGAATTCAATACGTAATCATAATCATATGCACTGCAGTTCTTTTCAATTAATTGTACTGCATTTTAATAATGTAAAGATTACTTTTAGAACTTTATCCTGTAGGCATATTTCTGAATATATTATACATAACTTAAATTAATTTGTCACATTATAGGCAGTGGCGGCTAAAGGGGGCTAAGCCCAGAAATCAGGATTCACATTTTTATTGGTTAAGTTAGAAAAATTAATTAAAAATAATTAATAGGAACCTCAAAGTTTGATATTTGCAAACTAAATTTATTATTTTTATATGGTGTCTAGTACGGTAGTTGGAAAAAACGGGAAATTCGGGAATTAGTATTGAATTTCAAATCGGTCTTGAAAAGTAGGGATTTAGTCTTTAATTTGTTTTGAAAGTCGGGAATTTTCATGATTTTGCCACGATCATCGCAGACGACGCCGATGACATTTCCGTGGCCGCGGGAGTCAATGATGATGTCTACACGGCCGCGGGAAATGATCATAATTTTGCTGCGGTCATCGCAGACGACGCTGATGACATTTCCGTGGCCGCGGGAGTCAATGACGATGTCTACACGGCCGCGGGAATTGATCATAATTTTGCCGCGATCGCGATTGGCGACGACGACGTCCGAGGCAGTTAATGATGATGTCTATTTGGTCGTGGAAGATTTTCATCATCCAAAAAAATCCAAATTGGCTAGTTTGAATTTTTATTGCTGCATTTTTTCTTTACTTTAAAACACCCCATTAAAAGTTACATACTATTACTTTATGACATAAAGACAGGGTTTGGTGTAGAATTCAAAAGTTTGGATAAATTAAACAAATTGGCATTAGTATCAAGAATTGAGAATCGCTACGGTACATTTTGGTATCAACACATCACTAATTGTTGAAAAATCCAGTCTTGAAAAACTTGGCATTCGTCTGAAAATGTCTGGAATTATTCTTGAATTTTTAAATGGAAATAAACTAGACACCATAAATTTTAACTTTTTATGTGGTGCAAAATAACGTCTTACCATTGCCAAAAGGTGTTGGAGCTCTAAATAGACAAAGTAAAGTTCTTGACTTCGTCTGTGAGAAGGCCTGAGTTATATGCTACAAACCCAGCAATTAATTAGGGGTAGGTACACGCACAGTACACACGTTTAGGGTTTGGATCGGTCTGTTCCTTTCTTTTATCTTATGACAGCTATTTTCCATAATGTGTAAGGGTGAAATTCTCACATGGAATTCGTAAATTAGCCGATTACAAAGTCCTTCAATAAGTACCATGTTCACTGAATCCGTAATTCCTTTTGATGTTGATTTCCAAATAGCCTAAAATACGTCTTTGGAGCTTACATTTTTTCAAAAGTTTTCGGGGGAGGACCTCCGGCCCCCCTCCACACTTAAATTAAGTTAATTACAATCAGGCGAACCTTAAATGAAAACTCTAGGTGGTGATTGAGGCTGGTGATCGACCATCGGTTCTCCTAGACATCCCTATTGCTGCTCCAATGCTCCAAAACACCATATGATTGGCAGTTTTATACTGAGCCACAGCAAAATGCCGGAATGGGCATACGGGAGGGACGATGGCTAAAGGTGTGGTGACGTCATATCTGTGGTGGCTAATGTTTTCTCTTGAGGCAACACGATTACCGAAACGAGACGATGTGATTCCAGGGGCGTTCGTGTCATAGTAGGTAGCGCATCGGACTAGTATTCAGGAGGTTTCAACCTAACTTTAACATTAACTTCGTGTCAAAGATTTTGCTTTATTTGTTTTTTATCTTATATCTTTTTTATATTAAGTTTATTAGCAAGTTTGGTTGGTTAGGTTACGTTATGATAGTTTAATTTTATGACACAACATTCTAAAATTGATTTTATAATTAAAAATTATAAGTAAACATTAATTTCATTTTTATCTTATATATTTTTTATATTATCAGCAAGTTTGGTTGGTTAGGTTGGGTTATGACAGTTTAATTTTATAGTTAAAAATTTAATTTAATAACTAAAAATTATAAAATTAACTAATTAACCAATTAATTTTAATTTTTCAACTTAGCGGTTCTAGTGGCGAACGCTGACACTATGTTAGCCATCGTCCCTCCCGTGTGTCCCACCGGCAAAATGCCTGTCTTGGACTAAATGAACAGGTGTGTGGAGTGGAAATAGCAATCTACAGTACCTATTTCTAGTCAATGGTTATGTAAAAAGCATTATTCTAGTAATTTATGCAGTAAGGTACCTAGCTCATATTTCTCTTATGTAGGCGGGATTCGGAAAGGGAAGAAAAGTTGGTTTGAGTCGCTGCAGGGGGGTAGAGCTGGGAGCTTATGAATTCCCCATTCCCCTGTAAGCTTCCACATTCAGAATGTGTCTACCTTTGGCCTGCTGTCATAGCAGGTCATCCTCTCTCGGTCATAAAAATTTGTGGTTTTTAGGCAGCAGCTCTCCATTTAAACAAATTAAATCTAAAACTTTTAAAAATTAAAATTTGTCCTTTTCTTAATATTATTGGAATTTATCCAATGACTCCAACCATCCAGGTTCATAAACAGTAGAAAATTCATACTTAGACCCCACCTATCATAATCAAAATGCATTGTGCTCAATGTTTACTTCATTAATTGCTAAAAGGAACACCCAGATGTGTATTGAATTTTTAAGGCCTACAATAAAATCAAGACACATCTGCAAACAAGCATTCTAAATATTAGTTACATTATACACCATATTTTGTATGAATAAGGTGAAGACAACAAACATAAAGCTCTTTAAATATATCGTTAGCAAACACGCATGTGGAACAACAATATAATTTACTTAAAATTTCTAAAAGCTGAATTAAATGGCCTTGATGGTGTCTTTAATTCCCATGTTAGGTTCAGAGGGTTCATTCAAATAGATGTTGGTCGCAGAGAAATAAGGTACAGAGGAAAATTCAATGGTACACTTTAAAGTGGTGTCTAGCATGTACTTTACTTCAACTCTTCCTTGCTCGACACAAGCATGTTTCCTGTACACAAAATACCAGAAAGCCAAAAGCCTATGGTCGTTCCATATGAGCCGACTTGTTGCTCTGATCCATAAGCATGTTCCCTCTCTGTACGGTACCTTCTCTCTATGTTGGTACACGAGTGATTAAAATTTAACAAAAATCCGAGAACTTCCCTTTGTGCGTCTCAGGCTGGATAAAAGTTTCTCAGACACAAATATACAGTACAAATGTGATATCCTATGCAGTGTTGCACATTGGTAAGACTACGACAATAGTCACTCTTTTATAAGGCTAGGTGTTAGTAAAACATGTTTCTTGAGCGAGTATCTATCTTATTTAGATTTTACCCTCCTTCAATTCACTTCATTGTCCTTTCTCTTTAATACTTCAAATTCTCTCTTATCACTATGAAGGAAAACAACAAAGTCTTTGTTCCATCTCATTGTATTTCATAAAAACATTATCTCACACTTATATGGTAACAATGATGACTTAAAACTAGTGAAAGATTCCCGGGACTCATGAGCATGGACGGCATCATTATTCATAGGAGTAGTTAGTCAATCTTTAATAAGTCAATTGTCAACAAGAAAATGCTGTGTAAAAAAAATAAAATGTTAAAATGGCGGATTTTATTTGATCTTAAAACGCCGTTTAGGAAAATGCATGACTAGTCTTTTATCCCATTTTTATCATACTCTCTCGCCAGATTGTTTTTAGTAAAATATCCAAAATGTTTTGCTAATTTATATATTTCAAGCCTCTTTTGCATTTTACTAACCAATTTATACTTTGTTAATGCAATTTGGTATGATAATATAAGATAATTTCAGGTCAAAAATTGGATATATAGATCATCTAAATAGTTTGATGTTTCTAACCCTTGGTCTTATTAAATAAATGACTTTCTACTTGTTTGTATATATAACCGGTTTTCTCTCAAATTCAAATACAACCATCAGTTAAAGGATAGATTAACAATAGAAACTTTCTCTGTCATGTCATTTACATGTTCCTACCTATAATACAAATTTTTATAAATGGGAAAAAAATTCTTATGGTTTGCTCACAAAAGTACAATTTCAGATACACATTTAAGCAAAATCTGCAAAATGGAGTAGCAAGAAAATACGTACAGTTAGATTATAACTAAGGCACAAAACCACTTAAAGCAATTAACTATACCTATGAAAATTGAAAATAAAAATCAACCCTGGGAACCAATATGGTTTAAGTAACAAAAACAACATTTAGTAACATAAATCAAACATAAACTAACGCTATAGCCAAAATTTACAAAAATAGGGTAACTCCAAACAAGCCCTGAAGAAAACAATCTTTGCACATGATAACGTAATTACTATGACTTAATGGGTGCCGAGAATCCACTAATACTCCTCCTCTGAAATCAATTACGCTCAGGGGAGTCAAACGGCACTCAGGCCTACCTGACGGTTTTGACAGTATATGACCCCCACGGCAAAGAATAGGACAGCACTCGTTCCGCTTCCCGTCGTCCAGGATGAGGCTTAATTAGAAGAAAATCAGAATATTGGCACCTATCAATTGAACAATGTAGGTGATATACCTAAATTATTTGTTGATTATTGTCTGTAGCAAAGATTGTTTTGACAAAAATTAAAAATTCCTCTTTAACTCAACACTATATACATCTTAAAACTACAACCTAGACAATCGTGATAATTTTGTGAAGTATACAGAACATACTGTTAAAAGTTTTCTTGCCATACTCATAAATGTCATCAACAACTGAAGTTTTAATAACTGAGCTTGTATTGGATATAATTGAAATTATTAATTGACGGCTTGATGAACATCAGGTATTTCAAATCAGACGAGGCATGGTAGACGGAGATTCTACTTACTATGTTTTTATTAATAATAAATATGATAGTTCGTACTTTGATCTTTTGGGTAAACTACATTATAAAATTTGTTGCAATCTTTTTACCCATAATCTCTAACCCCAATAATTGAACTAATGGCCGAGTAATATTAAAAAATAATTTCTAAAAAGCTAATATGATAGTTCCTGCTTAGTAAAATGGTTTGCTATAATGCAACATCGAATTCAGTTAAATTGATTCTCTCGATCCTCCCAGAGTTGTTCACCTTAAAGATCTCCCTAATGAATTACTTGGTTTTCAACCTATATATTTATTTCCTCAATTCAATGAACTCACACTGAAAAGGGCTTTCAATCCCTTAATCTTTAGTTTATACTCTCCACATGGTAAAAATTTCTATTCTAAAGCTCAAATATTGTAATCACTACTAAATTGACTGAAAATCATAAAGCCAAAGTAAACATTTAGTAAAGACAAAACATAAATTTATCCACATTTTGTTAGATCAGCTTTGGTTGTTTTCAATCACATTTAATAGCCATCAGCAAAATGATTTTGGATAAACCCAAAGAAAACTAAACTGTGACAGGATCAGATGTCACAGTAAGAATAAACAATCCTGGAAAGCGAAATTGAATCCCGGCATAAGTAAAATGTTGTTTGTATTTATAGTTTTCTTCAGCTGACTATGTTCACCCATCCATAAAGTTTGATGGGCAAAAAGCTTGTCTATTTTAATGTACAGACATCCTCTTTTTTTCTCACATATATACCGTACTTAAATTAATTATTGTCTCTGGACCTTCGAGTCCAATTTTGTGACTAAATTTCCAACAATTATTCTATCACTTTGTTCCTGTTTGCTTACATTGACCAAACTTTTCAACATGTTTCCAATACACAATAATACTGTTGCAGCCTCCCCAACTTTTTCCCGCAGCTGACAATTCTCACTTAAAAATGTTACAAACAGTGTTTCCAAAGGTCAGGTTGCGTTCAAATTCCGTGCTGTCGGTTCTAAACTTTCTTGATAGAGGGAGTTGTTGTTCTGCTCCTCATCATCCGGGTCGTTGTCTACATCTAGGAACCTGAAACAGACAGCATCTTTTTATATGAGAAATTGTTTTTCTACCACTTGATCTAAGATACTACTTATGCACCTCAAGTTGAACTGCAAACTTAAAAAGCTTAGATTCATTTATCATTTTTGCCAATATCACCAACACCTTTACTTAAAGATTATGGGGTTACAATAAAGTCCTATAAATTATTTTTCCTACAGTTACCTAACAATGTACATGTTCTCTAACTGATTTGAGAAAGCAAAGTGGCCAATTCGCTCACCAGTGAGAAAATGTTAACATTGTCTCACTGTAATTACTTTGTCTCACTCCAGATTTGCAACGTGAAGGCACGAAATAGTGAGCGCGTAACATGCAGGCAACGTCGTATGCGCGCGAAGTACGTTGGCAGCACTGGCTGTTAATCAGCTGGTCAGCTGTTGTACTGTTGTATTTGTCACTTCACTTTAAATGTTATATTAAAAGTTCACTTCTGTGTAAAAATAGGCTATGTTTCTTCACCAATTTATTTGTTTTATGGTAACTGTAGGAAAAGTATAATGTGCAACTCGAGTTCAAAGTACAATTGCCTCACTCGAGAAACCGAGTGTAGGAGTTTTGCCAACGGGTATCAGGTAGAAAGGGTCCCCATCCGCGAATTCCTCATACTGCGGAGTTTTGCCAACGGTTGTGGGTTGACGCGAGAGGGGGAGGGGGAGAGATTACACGTAACCGTGAGGGTGGCTTCCGCTAGGGGCGTACAAACCAGGCAGGATGCTGACTGTGTTCAAAGAAATGCAGTTATGCACCTCTGACTGTGAAAGGAAATGTATTGAATTTTTAACCTAACCTAACCTAACCTAACCTAACCTAACCTAACCCAACCTAACCTAACCTAACCTAACCTAACCTAACCTAACCCACTGCGACAAGCGCATAACTGCGGTCAACCCCAGGCGTAGACAACCCTGACAATCACTCTCTCTCCCTCCCTCACACACTCTTTCTCCCGCCCCCACCGTTGGCAAATCTCCGCAACAAGAGGTGGCCGACGGCATCCCCCCCATCTACCTGACAACCGTTGGCAAAACTCCGGTTCCCCGAGAAACCATTCCTCACTCGCCTACGGCTCGTGAGTAAGGATTTCTCTCAAGTGAGTCAATTGCTCACTTTTCTTACTAGTTGCACAAATAACTAATATCTTTCAAAATTGTAAGAAATCGTTAAAAACAATAATGAAAGATTGTTCTATAGGTATTGTTCATTGGTAACCTTTTTGCAATTTCAGTAGAAAAATTGTCTTGTTTTTAAACTTCATTTAATTAATCCCGAATCAGTAGAAAAGCGTAGTCACCTGAAACCCCAGCTTCAAGAAAGAAAACCCTCATATCTTCTCAAATGTTTGCGTTAGTTTAATTATACCTTATAACTCCACTCACTCGAATGTTATTTATAAACTAGATTCGCCCAATTGAAAAGCTATTTACTTTTAGAAGCATACCCTATTATGATTATCTATTGCAGGACTGGCTAGAGAGTTGGCAGAGCCCCCGGGGCCCAGGGCTCCGAAGAGCCAGGTCAAATGTAAAATTTTTTCTGTACGGTACATTTATCTGCTAAAGTCAAAACTTTTTGGATAGTTTTCCAGTTTACTGAGTAGCCTAATTTTTGACTTGAATTGTGTAATTCAAGTCTTCTGACTTAATTCTTACTTGATTTTTTTTGTTGCAATTGTGAGCACTTGAATTAATCAAACTATTCAGCATTTAAGAAATGTATTGTTATTTTGTGTAACAAAATAGCACGGAGGCGGTTGAACTAAATCAGGAAAATAGGGGGCCCGTGACGGATCTCGCGGGCCCTGATCTATTGAGATGGGGTCACTACCTTGGTCCTTGGTGCATATTTTAATGCTGGTGGCTCTAGAATAACAATTAGCTAAGATTTGAATGGTTTTTAGGAACATCATAGTTAAAATATTTTTTATAAACTACCAACACACCATCAAGACATCGTACGTGTTATGTTACTAACACAGAGCCTGCAGGTGGTAACATTACAAGATCATCTGTTCATTAAGTTGACGAGCTGAACAGTTATCATCATGTTGATTGATGGGCTAACTTGTTATCATCTGTAGTTGTTGGTGGTTTTTGACAATGCTTTTAAAACCAGGGTTTGGACTGATCTCTTACAACAACAACAACAAAAAAACAAACAAAAAAATGATGGAGTACAGATAAAAATAAATTTTAAAAGTAAATGATGGAGCGGTTTTATGCACACACTATTTTTGTGTCACTAATTAGTTTTGCTGATTAATAAACACATATCTCTTCAGTGAGAGAGGCCCCTGAACAATGTTCCACTGCAACTCTTTGGTTTATTGTTAAATTGCAGGTTGTTCAATATTTCAACAATAAAACTACTGATTGAAAATACCAAACTCTTTTAATCAAAGAGGTTAATTTAAGGTTTGCTACCTGATTACCTGAACATTTCTTTTTGATATAGTTGCATGGGTAATCGTATTAAGGTAAAAGTTGTGAGTCATAAATATGTGCGAGTAAGATGGTCGATGTACAGAGCTATCTAGTTAATCTTTGATTAAGCATTAAAACTTTTTGTGTGTGTTTTTTTTCCTCCTTGGACGCTATAGGCACTAGCCCAGGATTGTTTTTCACACTACTTCAGATTAGACCTAGGGGTTGTGGCAATATGACTTAGATAAAATCCATTGGTGATTTGGCAGGATTTGAACCCGGGACCTCAGGGGAAGTCCCGCGCTCTAACCACTAGACCAGCTCACTCCCCCAAAACTTTGTGTTGAGGAGACATAAAAGGGTGTAAGAATGATAAAGTGAAGAAATAAAATAAACTAAGCTAATAAGAGGGAAACTAGCCAATGATCTTTTTGATAGGTTTATTATTGTTTGAACACGTTATTAATAGTCTAAGTTCCTAAAACATGACTTTACTCACGTGTAAGGCTTCTCATCCCCCCTCATCTCGCAGATAACATTGGTCAACGCCATGATGTAGTTCTTAGCGAGGGTCAGTGTCTCTATCTTGGACAGCTTCCTCTCCATCTTGACATGAGGAATCACCTCTCGGAGTTGCTAACAGAAAAAATATTGTTAACAAATCAAATAGTGCAAGATTAACTAATTTGAAATGTATATTGTTGCTTTCAAAATTTAAACTTTGAGGATTAAGAAGACAATAAAAATAATGATCGTTGAAAAATTAGTATTTATATGCTCGCAACAACAGTGTGGGTGCTTTGCAGGAGTCACTGAGACTGAAAGGAGAACTGGTCAATTCAAAAACGTTCAGTTGGCGGCCTCTTTTGACATTGCATTTGCCTGTTTACATGTAACACAGAGGCCTGTGCGTGGAATGTATTCAGCAAAGCAAGGGGTGAGCCAGTCCAGTACAGTACAAGGGTGAACTGTAGGCCTACTGATAAAAAGTAGTGGCTGGTTCCAGAATCCGAACCCACGACATTGCTGCCTTGGGCAGGAGGTCTGTGGCACTACCAACTGCACCACCAAACTCACCAGAGTTCTACGAGAACATAAATAAACCATCAGCTATCTGTACGTTCTTGGACATATCCCAGCATTCCATAAACCAGGGTCTTACCAGTTGAACTTTCTTTCAAAAGTACTCGTAGGAGGATGTAAGTATTGTTTTATGTTTACATAGTTGAATCTATCACAAAAACTTAAGAACTAAAACCTTGAAGAGTTCTGTAGTTGTGATTATAAAAATTCTGGAAATTGTAGCTATGGATTTTAACTTGTCCAAAATTCAAGTAGGCTACCTCTTTGTCTCATAAAATCCTCTAGAGTACATCTTAATCCACTCCTTGAAACCCTTCAAGTTGTACAAACCTCGAAAGCATCGTTGAGGGAGTGCATCCTCATCCTCTCGCGCTCGTTGCTCTCCAGCCGCCTCATGTTCCTCTCTCGCGCGGACAGACCAGTTCTTCTTCTCCTCCCCGGAGTGATGGATCCCCCACCTCCTGCCAAGTACCTCCACTTAGCTCTGACTGATCTCCTAGATGTGCCTTCACTGCAGGAACTGTCTGAGTCTGAACAAAAAATACTCAAGTTCAATTGATTTATTTCTGTAGAGAAAACTATGAGGCCTGATTGATATTATTCAAATTCTATTTATTATTTCACAGTACAAGTTTTTATACAATGAATAGCGCCAAATTATGGGGCTAAATAGCTTTTTCCACAATCTCTCCTCGCTTTCGAGACTAGTAATGAAAACTACTATTTTTGCGTGCAACATTGTCTGCTGTTTAGGACTGTCGAGTTAGTGAGTTACACAAACTGTCAAATTACCGAGTACCGGTACTCAATTTTATGTACTGCAATAAATTTAAATCAGAAAAAATAAAATAAAAGAGGAGACCATGTCGGTTTGTAAACCTCTAAAACAACTTATACTTAACATCATTATTACCTTGTTGAATGTGTTTCAGTGAATTTTTCCCAGATGATATGTCAGAGACACCATCGTCTACTTCCACCTCGTCTTCTTCTTCTTCTAAAGATCTGCCACCGCTGTCTACTTCTGAGAGTAGCCCAACTTCGGATCTCATCTGTAGAATTAAACTCACTTAAGCATAACTTACAGTATAATAAAATGACATTGTTAGTTTTATAATGGATATGGCCAATCCTTTTTACATCTCATTACGAAAATGGTGTGTGGAGAATCAGAGCAAACAAAGAATTAAGGGAAATCTATACATACATTGATGAAATAATAGCACAAATAAAAAGTAGGAGACTGAGATTAGAAAAATAAAAAAAGAAGGGAAGAAGATTCTATGCTAAGAATGTGTCTGAAAATCTCCCTCGCGGAAGACGGCCACTTAGGACGACCTCGGCTAAAGATGGCAGGACAAGGAAAGATGAAGAGATGTTGGGGAAAGCTAAGAGCATAGATATAATGGATGGGAGACAGATAGAGGTGGCGACTTGTTGTGGGTGAGGCCAAAAACTTACTGAGGTTTGAGTGGACCACATAGGTAAGGTATAGCCAATCAGTAAAGTTTACTCTAGTCCACTGAAAACTGACAATTGATTAATAAAATTGCTTACTAAACTAGCTGTGTGCCCGTTCTACATACGGGGATCTTATAGTAGTCAGTTGAATGTGACAAAAATCACACAATGTTGGGTTTTTGGACATTTGTAATTTTATTTCTTAAGTAGGTACCTAGGCCATGTATTCTATGGAAAAGTACTGGTATCAAGGATCGTCGTCGAAGAGGCTGTTACATGAATAAATAGGTAGGCGTACGTACCCAAGAGATGGGCTATGGGCCTATTTGCTGTAAGCGATTGCATTACACGGTGAGCAGAAACAGAAAGTGACACATTGGAAAAGCGAGTTTAGCATCATCTGTAAACCTCTGTTACAATCACCCACTGCAGTTGTGATTTTTTACTTTACACTTTACACAATCGCCATTGAAGCGCCGTCAATGAGTGGAAACTATTGGCGACGATCATTAAGTGTCCCAGCCATATACAACACTGATTCAAGGTCTTTTTTCTGGTTATCAAAACTCACGAACAATTTTATACACAAAAAATTTCTGGTTCCTGACCTGGATGATGCCTAGGTATTTAATTTAATTTACGGTTACACTATGATATTGCACTTGCGATTAATTAAATCCGTTATGTAAGAAAAACGTTTTTAATCTCAATTTTGGTTGGGATTTGCTTTCAAAACGTGATTCGAAATGGTTGCGGTATTTGTAAACAACATTTGTAAACATATCAGTGACAGAAAAAAAAAATCTTGATCCGAACAGCTGTTCGTTATTTCATAGACGATTATGTGATAAAAATTAAACGAAAATTTGACAAAAATCGCACAAAACTGCATTTTTGAACGTCCTTAATTTTATTTACAAAGTAGTTAGGCCATATTTTAATCACTAAAGACACTCTCGCCAATCCAGTGAATACATTAAAATGACTTGGGTCTTGATAGGTACTCTCGTTTTCACGGAGAAGATTGCGTGTGTTACAAACCTCAGTAAGTTTTTGGCCTCACCCACAACAAGTCGCCACCTCTATCTGTCTCCCATCCATTATATCTATGCTCTTAGCTTTCCCCAACATCTCTTCATCTTTCCTTGTCCTGCCATCTTGAGTGTTACAGACAGAAATACAGACAGACAGAAATAGAGATAAGACTCGTTTCTGCTTCTTTAATGTATAAAATGTAAAAATAACCTAAAAATATATAATTCTGAGCAATGTATAGACAAAACTCTAATTTTATTTAAATAGAATAAAGAAATGTGAAATATATAGGCTGCTCAACCTGGATTGCATTATTTTGACGAGTAGTAGAAAAAAAATTATCCATACATAGTTTGATATACCTACTGTGTTTGTAAATTAGCTAAACATTTTGTAAATACAATTTGGTTTTCTACAGTTATTACACCTAGTTTCGGCGAATCTATAAGAATAGTGTGACTTTTGTACAAGAAGAAAATCCAGAAAACGGCTAAAACCTCATATGTCTCTTGTTGCATCACTTAAAATCCCCAACTGTCAACATTCTACATGTGTCTTATAACTTCTCAATAACATGTTTTGCTTTGATAGTGATCAAATCACTCTGTATTTCCCACTTACAGCTATCAATAGAATCTGGGAATTCAGTTTCCAATATATCTTTGGAAACACAACCTTTTGGAAGTAGCCTTCGCACCAGTTTGACATTCAGTGGCGATTGTTTTTCAAAAAAGTGTCGCGAGATACGAGAACTACGCAAGGGAGGGACCAGTCTAGAAATGCCAAGGCCGAGAGTGAAGGTCGGACAGGCCTGATGCTGATAGCCGTGCCTCAGCGAAAGGTCGGTGTTGGGCGAAAGTAAACGATATTATTGTCCGCCTTTCCCTTCTACAGTGTCCGGTGTCGGTGTCGGCTGGGGACCAATCTAACATGATGCATGAAAGAACTATAATTAATGACGACGAGTAAGAGTAAATTTTTGAGTCATCATATGTTGTTATTTTAGTTACAAACTGAACTGATGGGTTGATTTGATGATCGAATCGTGTGAAGACGAACATGATGAAGGTAGGACTACCGAGTTGAAAGTAAATGTTGGGGTCATCAATGTAGGCTCAAAGGCATTTTAATTTGCTTACGAAATGGATTGATCTTATGTAAAAACTGTTAAGAGTATAAAACAACAATAAACACAGTGCTATTGTAAATAAAATTCAACTTGGAGAGTGAAAACATCATTTAATTACGTATAAATCATCATGAACGAGACCCGAGCCATAGAGGAGGCCTACAGCATTTCTTAACAGAATACAATCATCTTGGCCACATGGAATTACAGTAGTCACATAAGATCACGTCACGAATCAATTACCGGAGTATTTTATCATTTTAATCCCACAATCCTACATTACTTTAATTTATTTTCGTTATAAATTTCACGTTAGTTAAAGTTAAATGAGTTTGGTAGCCTTTGCATTAATAAACAAACACAGTATGGTTCACATTTAAAATTAAATATTGTTTTACAATACCAAGTTTACTTATGTGAAGTTTTAATATAGCCTACAATAGTTTGGGGAAGTTTTGTCTACAGTTAATTTTACACCAGAATTGAGTAACTTCGTGAACAATATTGAATTCTTTAAAATGTATTCACTAAAAATATATATGAATAAATTTTAAGCAAGTTAAGTATTGTATGGAGAAAACTAGTTCATATAGGAAATGCTCTACCATTGATTATATATAATAAGTAACTCATTATGTACGAAATGAAAGTGTTCAGTTAATGGTTCTACTTTCTAGCCACGGCCTAGACTTAAAATAAACTACGGTTTAGAAAAAGGCCATTTATGATTTGTTTTTGCTAAACATCGTAGGTCAACGCAACTAAAACTATAAATGATAGATAAAACATAAATGATTTGAAACATTATTTGCGTTCAGTTAGAAGCTTTTTGAAGAATAGTCTTGTGGATCAGAGAGCTTAATTCATACAAGGGGCAAATGAAAGTCGATCCCTTTTTAAAGTAATAAACAATATCAATAGACAGTGTAATAGAAAATGCCCTATGTCACATGCATGACAGGTTAAGTATTCGGCGACTTGTCGAATCTTAAATACAGACATTAATCCTGAAACCATAAAAACTGGAACCAGAAATCCAATCATGTATAATTAACGAAGAAAAAACTTGCAAAACTTGTCAATCTCGTTCTTTTACTTCAGGGCGTTACTTCTGATTATGCGTCTTTAGAGTTAAGACTGATTTATCAATTTCCAAAATGCACAGGATTGCAATCAATTCATTGTGGATTTTTACTAAAAAGGAAATAAATAACTTTCAATCGGGAGTTTATGTCTAAAGGAAGTCCCAGTTCCCATTGCAAAAGACGTATCTAGCTTAACGTTTTAATAGAATTCGACACATAATTTATTAGAAGAATTCACAACAGCCAGCTCCAAAGAACTCATTTTGCAAATACACATTACGTATAATTCTGCTAAAGCCAGTTGTCAGAACGTTGCTACGTTTGTTTCGTCAAAACATCAAAATCAGTTTTAAGGTTAAATCAGTGGTGTGTTCCTAGCCTTGTGGTTAAAATCTCGGACTTAGTAGCAGAGGAACAGGTTTGTTTCCCGGATTATCCGCAACAATTTGACGGATCTGTTAATCTTGCCCTAGAAGTGTTTACGTTTCTTAATAGCACAATGACTCTAGGGGTAAATCAATATTTACAAAGTTATATATTTCTCAATCCATTCCCAATCAGACGAGATTATTTATAAACAATATAAGTATTTGAATGAGATAATACCAACGCAACGATTGACGGAATGGGCAGAAAATTTACAGTAAAATTTGTTTTTCGAGGCATAACGTGAAGATATACTGGTAAGAAACATTTACAGATATACTTTTAATATAGTTCAAACAATACAACCCCATTCCTTGACAGAAACAGGCAGAGACCTGTAAAAATGAGTACCTCATGACGTCATGCTGGACACGTCGATGGTGACGTAACTTAGTATCACGCTACGATAGCGTTTATTACGTTCCGTCACATTCAAACACTTAACACTTTTACTCTCCGCGTCACGAGAGTAATCAGTGCAATGCCGCTGCAACTGCGATTTCTCCGGTAATCAGTAGGCCTACGAACCGCTGCTTCCGATGGATTAAGGATAAGTTCCAGTAATCAGTACGAACCGCTACTTCCGATGGATTAAGGATAAGTTCCAGTAATCAGTACGAACCGCTGCTTCCGATGGATTAAGGATAAGTTCCAGTAATCAGTACGAACCACCGCTTCCGATGTATTAAGGATAAGTTCCAGTAATCAGTACGAACCACTGCTTCCGATGGATTGAGGATATGTTCCAGTAATCAGTACGAACCACTGCTTCCGATGGATTGAGGATATGTTCCAGTAATCAGTACGAACCGCTGCTTCCGATGGATTAAGGATAAGTTCCAGTAATCAGTACGAACCACTGCTTCCGATGGATTGAGGATAGTAATCAGTACGAACCGCTGCTTCCGATGCATTAAGGATAAGTTCCCGTAATCAGTACGAACCGCTGCTTCCAATGGATTAAGGATAAGTTCCAATAATCAATACGAACCACTGGTTCCGATGGATTAAGGATAAGTTCCAGTAATCAGTACGAACCGCTGCTTCCAATGGATTAAGGATAAGTTCCCGTAATCAGTGCGAACCACTGCTTCCGATGGATTAAGGATAAGTTCCCGTAATCAGTGCGAACCGCTGCTTCCGATGCATTAAGGATAAGTTCCAATAATCAGTACGAACCACTGCTTCCGATGGATTGAGGATAAGTTCCAGTAATCAGTACGAACCGCTGCTTCCGATGGATTAAGGATAAGTTCCCGTAATCAGTATGAACCGCTGCTTCCGATGCATTAAGGATAAGTTCCAATAATCAGTACGAACCGCTGCTTCCGATGCATTAAGGATAAGTTCCAATAATCAGTACGAACCGTTGCTTCCGATGCATTAAGGATAAGTTCCAATAATCAGTACGAACCACTGCTTCTGATGGATTAAGGATAAGTTCCCGTAATCAGTATATGAACCGCTGCTTCCGATGCATTAAGGATAAGTTCCAATAATCAGTACTAACCGCTGCTTCCGATGGGATAAGCTCCAATAATCAGTACGAACCACTGCTTCCGATGCATTAAGGACAATTTGTAATGTGATGAAATAAATAATATAAGCATCATGTTATGTAAAATATTTAGGGATGACTTTTAAATAGAGAAAAAACAAATTTACAATAATTTATTTCAAAATGAGTTGTTTATAATGAATATTTCATGAAAATATTTAAATCCGTTTTTAGAGGGATAAAACCATTTGATACTAAGCCCTGTTCAATTAGCTTACCATTAAATCTCAATATTCCGAAAAATCGTATCAGTTCTATTTGAATTAGGTTCTGGAAAGTTATTTATAATTGAACATTATTCATCGAATAGGGATTTGGTCTTTACAGGATTTCTAACACTGTTTAGTTCTCTTAACCCTCTTAGCTCGTGTATGGTTAACGTGGCAGATGAATTGAGAATAGCCTGGCCTTTATTTTTCCGCACTAAAGTTTGCTAGCAAGTGTGTCACTTAATAAAAGCAACTTTTGTGCTATACATCTGTGTTTACTGTCACACAAAACCCTATTCAATTAATTGAAATACCTTCTACCGGTAGCCTTATTTTCCTGTTCCATTGTTAACAAAGTCTGTAATCTATTTTCAATATTTTGGCATCAATAGGGTATAAGAGGTTAACAATAAAAACACCGTTATATACCAAACTAGAGGTCGTCTAGTGGTTGAAAACTCGACCAAAAACATATAATGTACAGACTTCTCTATTTTCACCCATCGCTGTAACGAAAACACGTGATTGGAACATCTTTAATTTGTTTTGATTTACTGTTTATATTTCGTTGTTATTTCGTCACCGACAACCCTTAAGGCACATGTTAATTTTTTTTAAATTTTCAATTCATTTTATTTTTTATTTTTGAGCCTATTTTAATTTATAAAGGCATTCTGCACATCTACAGGCAAATATCTTTCTAACAGTTTGCGTAGATTTTCCCTGCGATGTACATGAGCTGAGAAAAAAAGGTTTAAAGAAACATGCTTACCTAATAATTTAATAGTTATTATATTTTCTTCCGGTCTGGGTAGGAAAGAGTAACACTTTCGGATGTAACTTCACCAACCCCCTTTTAAAGTTAGTTTTACATCGATCAAAACCACAGCCATCACCCGATTAATTACAAAAATAACTTTACATTTGAACGTGTTTTTGTAGTACACAAATTAATGAGTTTTATTTTTTAGAGTGGTAACTCAATGTATATTGCATATAGGTAAAGTAATTTAGTAAATTAAATGAAAGTTCCTTTATTTATTTAGGTGAGCTCAGGACCACATGGACCCTTTATGAACAACCTGAATTGAGTAGTGTATATTACAGTATATTCTAAATTCTCCAACATGTCGATGTTTGCGAAAGAAAAGCTATGAGTAATTGAAAAACTTGGTATATAAAGATAAAAGTAAGAAGACTTCAAAATCAGAAACCAAGCGTATTATTTTACATTATCTATTCATTCACCAGTACTAATTTGTACTAATCAAATAAATTTGTTATCTTTTTTTATTCTTAGTAAAAATTAAAGCGAAACAAACTAAAAACTGAGTGACAGTAAGTTTAAGTATATACTGGAAATATACCAAAATAACTAAATTTGCGTTAACTTATACTAAACCTATGATTTACACTAACTACATTAGTTTCTAACTTATTTACAAATTAAATAATGTAAGTGCACTGTAATTGGTGCATGGTCAACTTACACTATTGTTTTATCCGTGTGCGATCCTCAACCAAAACTGTCACAAACTTTAAACCATTGTCACTCGAAATTTTGAATTTGAATTCAATAATTGACACAACTATGTACAGGGTGCCACGTATACTGTAAGTTGAACTGTACTAGAAAGTTACGTTGCCTGATCCAGTTTCGATTTCAGCTGGGAGAGTGGCAACAGTTACTGGTGGGGGTAACACAGCCCCCCCCCTACGCAATCAGCTGATCTTTGTTGCTCACAATCAGCTGGTAGCGCCGTCAGCTGTTAGCATTGTTGTATTGTTCCCGCCACTCGCACACGTGTGCTGGGAGTTTTGAATCGGATAGGGATAAGAAACTCTACTTGTCCTGTGCACTAGAACAAGTGTTTATGTCAAGGGTATGTTTTGTTAGCATGAGAAAACCAATGTATAATGTAACAGTTGAGAGTGCCTCCACTAAATTTGCTTGGTGAAAATGAAGGTTATTTGAAGCTGAAATACCCAACATTTATATCTATCCATACTATAATAAAATTAAGTTTGTGTCTGTCTGTCTTGGCAGCTGTCACGACTAAAATAAAATACTAAACCGATAAAGCAAAAAGATGATCCACATATCTAGGAATGTCATAGGCCTATTCACTTCCCTGAGTTCCTCTCGGGCTACGCCCCTTGGATGTCCAAAGTTTTGAGGTGAGGTTTTCAAAAGTAAATATTAATTGGTCTCTCCATTAAAGCATGAGAAAGTTCACAATGTTTACCTTTACGTTGACATTTCAATGTAAACAAGCAGAACTGCCAAATTGCTTATTCCACAAATTATTTCAGACAGCTGATCCAAAGAAATTAAATATAATATTTTACACAACTATGTGACAGGTTTATTTATTCTATAACTATGTCATTGATTATGAAAAAAAGATTCTATAACCGTTGCTGTATCAACACAGGCTCTGCTTTCTATTTATTAAAGTGTTAAAGTCATTAAAATAATGTTATTAATATATTTTCATGTCAGTATATATATAACAGTATATATATAAATAACAGTAGGACAATTACAATGTAGGTCCACTTTTTTGTATAAATTTAGTGGATTTTTGATAATAAATTCAAACTACTTAACAAGTGTTTGGATTAGGCGGTATGTTACATCTTCCCGTTGCGAAGCACACAGCAGCTAGTCTATATATATATATATAATTCAATGTATGTTTGTTTGTATGTTTGTCCTTTATGGACTCCGAAACCGCTCGACAAATTGTAATGAAACTTTCAGGCATTATTAAGTATTATTCAAGGATGGTTTGTGTGAAGTTTGGTGCAGATCCGTCAAAAGGGCTCCACCCCAGTGGCTCTGGAGTTTCCCATGTTAACCTTATGAGTACTCATATTTAAAATGTAATTTAAGAATCTTAACAGCTGGTTCAACACTTCAATTTGATTCTGTGATGTTCAATAGTATTAAAAAGTTAATAGGTTTACCAACAGGGTGCAGAACTACTGTATTATTTTTTTAAATTATGACAACAGCTAATTTGCAACAAAAAGGTGAGTGAGCATAGCGAACGAACTTCAACGTGGAGGCGAGTTAGCGTAGCGAACGAGCTCCAACCTAAAGGTGAGAAAGCGTAGCGAACGAAATTCAACCAGGACGTGATTGAACCATGCGAACGAGCTCATCTTGAAAATGAACGAGCATTTGACATAAAACCACATTAGGACAGGACAACGTCTGTCGGGCCAGCTAGTATTTAATAAATGTAAATGTTTTAGTTGCATTTCGTAGGGAATCGAATAACTTAACTCTTGCCCATTCCCATTAATCATACACAATAAGCTGTGTTGACCTATCTTCGCCAATAGAGTGTTTGTTACTTATTAGAGCCAAGTCTTTCCAACCTAGCCTAATATTAACATAACCTCATTTATATCACGTGAATTCATATCTATATACTTAATACAATAAAGATCTTCTCTGTAACATACCTTTTTACCATTAAGGTGTAATTTGAAAGCTTATGATCCAGCAGAGGGATGAAATAGTTATTTGTGCAACTAGTGAGAAAAGTGAGCAATTGACTCACTCGAGAGAAATCCTTACTCCCGAGCCGTAGGCGAGTGAGGAATGGTTTCTCGAGTGAGGCAATTGTACTTTGCACTCGAGTTGCACATTATACTTTTCCTACAGTTACCATAAAACAAATAAATTGGTGAAGAAACATAACCTATTTTTACACAGAAGTGAACTTTTAATATAACATTTAATGTGAAGTGACAAATACAACAATACAACAGCTGACCAGCTGATTTACAGCCAGTGCTGCCAACGTATTTCGCGCGCATACGATGCTGCCTGCATGTTACGCGCTCACTATTTCGTGCCTTCACGTTGCAAATCTGGAGTGAGACAAAGTAATTAGAGTGAGACAATGTAACATTGTCTCACTGATGAGCGAATTGGCCACTTTGCTTTCTCAAATCAGTGAGAGAACATGTACATTGTTGGGTAACTGTAGGAAAAGGTAATTTCTATTAGAGTTTCGCCCCTTTGCATTTAATTAATTTTTTGAGTGCAAATTTAAAGATCCAGTGATGCTGGCAAACTTTCTTTATAACGGTTGTGAATTATAATTTAACAGCTGATCCACGAGTTGAATGTTTAACTACTGGCAAGTAAACAAGAGACAACAAGTTTATTTGAAATAGGATTCAGAAATTCTTTTCGGTCATTTGTGTATCAACTGAGGTAGGCAAATCATTCTTTATCATGTAGTCAAATAATATATTCACAAGTATAAACAGTCCAAGAACAATCAAGATGTTGTATTCTGTTCAGTTGGGGATTTTGTTAAACTATTTACAGTTGTTTAAAAACTTTACTTTTTGTCTATTTCTGGTGTAAAAAGGACCAAACAAGTTTGATATAATTTGATACAAAGGAAATTAACCATTGTCTTGGTAATTTAGAGCCAGATTGTTTCAAGGAATCGATCAACATTTAAATGCCTTTTAAATGTACATATCTACATACGTACATAAGTCATGTAACGAGGGATTTCTCCCTTTGGCGTCTCTTTCTGGGTAATTTTGCATGATTGTATAAACAAATTGTATTGACTAAACAAAGAATTGTACTGGCTAATTGTATGATAATATTATATCGACTAAGCGCCAAAAATACATTACTGTCAAATCATCTTCATTTGTATGATCAGAGTTAGTGTACTTTACATAGTTATCCTAACTTTTCTCTTTTGGGTAGTAAAACATCAGTACTACACTACTAGACGGATCTGATATTGAATACTATTTTTTGTTAAGTCGTTGAATTAAGGTTAGAATGAAATCTTTGTCGTAAAGGAAAACATAGTTTTAGGATCAACCTTAACATGGAACAAGTATTGTAACACTAACAGAAACCTGTAGCCTAATCAGTTAATTGTGTTCGCTTAATCAACACAAACGCTCGATTAAGTATAAGTAAAAACTTTCAGTTTCCTTTTGTGTTAACATTCAGTATTGCCAAATGTCTAGTTTGCTCAACCAAAGAACTAGTCCCGTCCATAGAGAATAGGAAAGCGTCTATTGATTGTCATTCTAACCACAACTACAGCAAGCAATCGTCTTCCATCGCTTTCTAGATCGAAGGTAGCCAAGAAAAACAAGCGCTTTGCAATCGATTTCGATCGTTTTCTCTTTGGAAATTCAAAATATAACACAATTCGGAACGTAAAACTTGTGTGAGGATTTAGTGGTTTTCGAGTGATATTGATTGTTTAGGTTTGAGATGATAAAAGTAGAATAGAATGGTTCAGACATATGCTGAGATGCAGTAAAATTACCTCTGTAAATATAATGTGTTGAGGAAGTCGGACAAAATCAACACAAGGCATCTCACTACATTCTACACTAATTTATTTGGTTTAACATACGCACCTACTAGCGTCCCCAACTCAAATGATAATGATGATAATAATGAACTCTTTACGAAAACATGGAGAAATTAGGAAAGCAAGCGTAGGGGAGGATTTTATCTAGGAAATTACAGTTTTCATCTGCCATCTCTATATATTTACTGTCACTAAAATAGTTTTTTACTTGTTTGTAGCATTGACTATATAACTTTATGTCAATGATTGTAGGCTAGAAAACTTTACAGAATAGTGGTGCTGTCAAAAAGTAAAAGGATACGATGCTCAGGCTATGTTTGGAAGAGTGGAGCAACTTCAATTGTTAAAAGTGTATTACAAGAGTACCGGTACCAGACTGGGGTCTTGAGGAGGGATTTCAAAGTAAGTAATAGAATAAAATGGAAGGTGATATGTAGGTACTTTGTATTTTGTCATCGATAAAGTTGATGATTCGCTACATAGTAATTAAATTTTAAATTAAGATTTAATTGGATGAACAATAGGTGTACACATTACATTTTTCACAATGAATTTTTACATTATTTCCTTTGTACGTCGATCTGTCTATGAAAATCTATTTGTCTACAAATCTTGAACAATTCGAACTTATTTTGTAAACCAAGTAGCCTAAAAACTATTCTAAATTAAACACAGTTTTAGCAGACTACTTGATTTTTATGTGAAAAGGGCCAACAGCTAGTATTTATTATATGTGTATCGATGATATTTGTAACAATACACTCAAAGAGAGTCTTAAAGTCCGAAATATAATTTTCTCCCTTAGTTGTTGTAATTGTGATAGTTTGTGTGACATTAACTATTTTACAATAAATTTTCCTTTCAGTCTGGTTTGATTGCACAGGTGATTCGACAGAAATCGGCAGTTTGCATCAGCGCACGTTTTCGGTGGTTAAATTCAAACAACTCTACATTGTTTCAACAACAACAACAACAACAACAACAACAACAACTGGGCACAGTTCGCCTATGGGAGACTATACGTCATGTTATATCCTTAGTCGATGGTTTAATGCATATAGTCCTTTACTCATACTCCTAAAAAAGCTGACTGTTTGTAACAGCTGATTTCCCTAATCAGCTGACCATAGCAAACTCGCACACAACATTGCAGGTCTAAAAACAACATTACACAAACATGCAACCGCAGCAAACAACAGACACTACCATACTACTTCACGAAACGCAAAACAATGATTGCGCCAACAGCTGATCACAATAAACAGCTGATTGCCGCC